TAACAACACCTCATCGTCAATCAGAAAATATACAATTATTATTTGGTCGTGATGGAGATGATGAAGATGCATATGCTGTTGCAGTTAATTCAAGCGCTGATATTTTTAGTACGACTAGATTATTACCGAAGTATACAGAAACAAGCATTGCCGAAGATGCTTAACTTAATATAATGTATATGTATCTGTATGCATTTGTGATATTAATCATTGTATGGTTTTCTTTTTCTTTTCTCCGTGTTTCATTTCAGAATAGAAATTTTAAGGTTATATACATATATACACATGTTTTAAATCATAAAATAAAATAATTATAAACTTAATCATTGTATTTCATGCTATCTTGAGTTTAGGAGTGAAATATCTAATGATTTAGAATAATCTAATTGAAAATGAATTATTATTCATGAAAGAAAAAAAAAGCAATTTTAATAAAATTGGACATAATTCTCAATAACACTGAAGAAGGCATTATATTTAGAAGAAATTGTCGATATGAATGGATAAGACACTTCGCTAGTATTATGTGTCTTGCATGTAACACATCTCATCTTCGCTATTTTTTAATCTTCATCATTTATTGTAATCATGGATGGAATATGTGAAAATAATATATGTTATCCTTTTGTATTAGTGAAAATCTATGCTATATTTTGTCACGAAATATTGATGATGAGAATTTAAATTCAATGCATGCTTATGTCAATTATAACTTTGCTATACATGGATGTATAATGTATAGAATGAAAGCTATCCTTCTATGTTAACAATCTAAATAGCATATATGTGTGTGTGTGTTTTTTTTCAGTAACATTAGTGTAATGATTACTATTTTCGGATAATTGCATAAATATGTACACTTGAAAATAAATGCTTGTTTTAATCTATAGTCAAAAGAGATAAATAATCACTAAATTCATTATTTTCGTTGAACTTTAGATTTCCTGATGGGTGATACCTTCCTAACATTGTACTAATCTCTGATTACTTGAACATATTGATGAATTTCTTCCATCTTAATTACAATTCTATCTAACAAAAACTTTCAGATATGAGTCGTCTAAAGAGAAATATTTTCATTGAATTATTAATATAGATTAGTTGCCATTTTGTTTTATATAGTTGTTCGTTTCGTAACGGTAAGATGAGTGCTCGACAAATTTTAAATATAACGTAATAAATGTTCTCTAGATATGTACATGTTTGAGGAGAGCATGGTAAATTCCAATATTTAGAAAAATCAAATTTCTATACATCATTCTATCATTGATGATGTGTAGTTAAAATACATTTTTACACATTCAATTGAAGAAATACAATCTTTAGTTTAGTATTGGATTGAATCAAGAGATACATTTAATTATGAAATAAGTATAGAAATGATATATATTTTTTAGGTTTGCATTAGAATGGGTTCGGTCAAGAAGTTTATTTTTATTACAAAGGCATATAAGAATCAAAAGAATTTCTACACTTCATCTTGAACTATACACACTATTTCTATACTCTTTTTATATTAAGGTCAATCTTCTGCGCTTATGTCTCAAAGCATCGAATTGAATTTCTTAGAAACAGGAACTTAACATTTCATGTGTTTGAGCTTTTATATTGATGTTGCTATATTTTGATCTTCATATTAGAAGATTTAATTCTTTTCATTATCACTATTATATATAAAGATAATAAAATTAAGCAAAAAAGTTAATATGTGATTAGTTACTTCTGAAGATTTCGCAGTAACTCCTTGATTATCCTTTCAAAATTGTCGATTTCACTATTTGTCACATCTATCATTTTGAGTTTAAAATGATAATGAGAACAGTTGTTGTCTGTCAATGATGATATTAATGTTAAGTAATACTAAAACTAAAAAGAAGAATAAATTTTCATTCTATGTTACTCATTTTTGTGCTGTTTTTCTATTCGATATCAAATATGGACATTGAGCCGGTGCAAATGATGACAACGATAGTCATAAGAAAATTGCTGATTTTGTTTATTCGAATTATACACATAAATTATCTTTCGTTTTAGAAAATAAAATAAATATATTTCTATATAAAGTCCTTAGTAGTATCTTACACATAGAACAACTCAATAATTAGTTCCGACTGACGTTTAGCACATCTATAATGTACATTAACTTTTGTGATATGGGTTATTTTATATTCATTAGTGAAATGAATTTTCATTTGTCAGAGTTTGATCCAAACTAAATATATACTTTTAACAAATACTAAAGAGTTTACCGAGGAAAAAAACGATGTAGTAATGGATGAAAAATTGTGAAATCCTTTCATGTCTAATATTTGTCAAAAATAATCAAACATAGAAAAGTTTTATCGTTTGAATTTTGATACATAATCAAGTTTCTATAAAACAAAACACTCTTATAATCAACTAAAGTGACTTATGCATGTTTCTGAGATTTTCACAGAATATTAACTTTTCATAGAGTCTTTACGGCTTTGTGCGAACTATTGTAGTGAAAATAAAATTTATTCACTATGTTACATGATTTTTTTTTGTATACTTTTCGTTTATTGAGATATATTTAAAAGAAATTAATAGAAATATATAAGTTAAATATAATATTTGTATAAAAAAACTAATTCAATGAACATAAGTTCTTCATAATATATATTGGATTTTTTATTCTTCTTTTTTTGTTTGAATCATAAGTGTGATAAAAAAAGATAGATTATTCAAACATGCAAATATCAAATCATTCATCCCTTCTGATTTGTTGTGCATTAATTATTCCACATTGTTCTAAACCAATAGTTCTATACAGTTTTATTTTGATAATGTTTACGATCATTGGACATCTTCTCATTCGAAATATTTTTCGTAAATGATCATGTAACTCCGGAAGTCTAATTATACTCACGCAAGGACAAAGCAAAATGTTGATATATTGCATATACAATAAGTAATTAGTCAGCACGAAAGAGATTGTTTGTGATTATTAATTGAATGGCATTATAATATTTACTAAAAAGACGGTAGGAAACCAACAAACATTGTATAAAATAATTACAGTAACCAGTTATGTAACTATTCATGTGTTCTTTGTCAATACATGATTCCGCTGGATGCGTCACTTTTGTTGAAAAACTCCAATAACAAGCAGAATATTGATCATGACAATAATAATGGACATGGCAGCGTTCAGTTCCATAGCTAAAGTAACCCACGTGAAATAGAATAAGTACTGCATAAAAAAAAACGGTTCAAGGAAACAGCAGACAATTGGTATGTATCAAATGATAAATTTATGTTGGTTGAGTATAGTAGAGTGAAATTCAAACAAATAACGTTCTACACTACCGAAAGCCATTAGTCATAGTCCACTAGAACCCAAGGATTGTTCAAGTGTTCTCTATGTCAGACAGGACCAGTAAGAATTGTTAGTAATGCGTTTATTTTGCAGAAAATACTAATGACCTAGGTAGATCTGACATAGTTTGTAAGAAATTAATAGTTAAAAGATAAATAATGACTAAATTTGTTGATGGATGAAGAAGATTACGGCGCTGAATAAATTCATAAAAGAAATAAATTGAATAGAAAATAGATGAAACAAATAAAATCATAAGAATAATAAAAATAATCAAATCATCAGAAGCAGAGAGAAGAGAAGCCAAATTGTCAAGAAAGAGATACCATAGATCTGCTGACGTCGTACTATTTGTGGAAGCCATGTCGTAATAAGTGATTAAAAATGAAAGAGTATAGTATTATATATATACTTTTGGTTATATTGATCTGTCTGAGTAACTTTTCTTCATCAGTATATTAGGATTATTTTATTTATATCCATTTCGTTGTGATCATTGCTAACAAGCATTTTGAAAGAGTTTTTGATAATAAAACAAGAGATAATTATTCCGTGTTTTTGTTAATAGCGAAGTCAAGAGATTGTTAGAGGAGGCTCAGCTTCATCTAGAAACGAAACGATTCGATATTACAGGCGAAGAAGAGACTTGTTTTTTCAGTTTCAAACGAGAGATGAGCCTATCCTACAAATTTTTTCTGACTTCATCACTAATTTCTGTTAGTATTGTGTAGCCACTACAAGATTTCTCATTACGAATCTATATGAAATCATCAAAAGTAAATCTGTAAAAACGTATTCGAACTTACATTCTAATAGTCATTTCATGTGAAGGATCTACAAAGATTTCGACAGAGAAACTCTAGAAAATTGTAAAAACTTGGAAAACGACACTACAATGCTCGAATTATTCCGATTCTAGATAGAAACGAACATTAGGTACGATTATTTTAGTCTTACCTTTATGTTTAGACCATTTTCTGAAGTTTCCATATTGAAAAAGCATGAAACTCACTGTCGGAAACATTCATATAAGGAATTCTTTGTAATAAGATAATTTGTTTTTTAATTAAAAATGTAAATAAATTGCATTTTTTTGTCGAATAACAACCCGATTGTAGAAGTCTAGAAGAAAAACCGTATAATTTCATTGCTTATTAAATACTAAAAAATTTCAATCGGATTTACCAATTTTCTTTTCACTAAAGAGGTGCATAATGTCATCAAGAGTTCTTCTCATCTTGACCTAATCATAAAGATCTCAAATTTATACTGCTGATTTGATAAATATCAAACAAATTGCTATAGAAAATCACATTATGCATGCAATGTAATTGAAGCACAAAACTTCTTTTTTTCAAAGTTTAAATGCTATTATTATATATCACAACAACGCACTTCTTTTGATGTATATCTCACATGATATTTTTGATAAAAATCACAAAATACTGCTGATTAAAATTTTGTTTCTATCCAAATTCCAGCATTATAAACATGCTTAAGTCAATGAATTTTACTGAAAATAAATTCACATATTTTTACTCTATATTCTATATTCATTCTTTATATTTGTATTATTTGAAAAATTACAAGAACAAGAAATATATTTTTACATTAGAAAAAGAAAAGAAAAGAAATAAACTAGTTATATATAATTATCATTTCATCGTAGAATTGTTCGTTGTGATTCTAATAATTTTTCTCGTTCTTCAATCATTGTTACTGCCTATTTATAAAATAAATTTACATTATCGTAAATTAAATTCTTATTCATATACCCTTACCCAACTAAAAAAAGCTGCTAAACCAACAGAAATTTCACTAACACGTATTAAATCATAATTTCTTAATATATCTTTTGCTTCATGTGCTTTATCAACTGTAATACGAAGAGGATTGAGTTCATAACATCGACGACGTACACTTTCTTTTCCTAGACGACCTAATAAATTTTGAATTTGTGTCCATTCCTATAAAGAAACAAAAACAAAAGTCTATCACTAAGATACAGTTCTTCAATTATTTTACTTGTATTTCTTTTTCTGAATGTCCAAGAAGTAAAAACGTAGCACGCATTACTGTTGACACTTCATCCGGTGGTTTAGTATAACTATGTAATTCAGCTATTGTTGCTTGATTAAGACGAAGTACTCTAATTCTAAATTAGGATAATAAAAAATATTTGAATATGAATTGTTCTTTTTGTTTTTTTAAAGGAATTCTTTACTTCATATGTTCAATTTTCATTAAACGATTTAATAATTCTAAAGCTCGTTCACATTCATATTTTAATTGTTGAAAATAATTATGATCTTTTACTTGTTGAATAGCTTCTTCAAGTGCTGGAATTGTTCGTTCTTCAATAGCTGCTAATAAATCTATAGATAAGAAAAATAATTTTAAATTCGAATATACATTGTATTTAAAATAAAAACAAAAGAAAAGAAAATACCAACCTCGACGAATTTTATCAAAATCGACAACATAAGGTGATGCTTGTGGAAATGAAAAAATATTTTGTATATGTAGTGGTGGAGTAATAATTTTTTCTATTGATGGTGTTACTGATTTTTCTTCTGATGGAGTTATTGGTTTTTCTAGTGTTGGAGAAATAGTTGTAGCAGGTGGTGTTGGTATGCGAGGAAATGGTTTAAGTAAAGGTGGTGTAAAAATTGGTATTGCTGTATCATCAGCCGAAATTGGTATGGGTGAATCATGTCGACTAATAGATTTGATTTCTTGTACTTCATAGGATTTATATGGACTGAAATGATGTGAATTTGGTTCAACTCTTTCTTTTATAATATCTTCAACTGATAACAACAACAAAAAGAAAGAAATATATTTTAACAGAATAAAATATAAATCTTACGTAAAAAATAGATCAATGTCATAAGAGCAAAAAGAGAAAGAAGAATCAGAAGAGCGGCCAGAAGTTGACCTAATGTGCCTTTACAAACAAAAAAAAACACACCATTAATATTCAAAAGAAATAAATTGATTTGAATTTTACTTCTCGATTGTGTCATACAACATATGATAACAGCAATTAATACAACAATTTCGACAAGTATAATAATTAGTACTGATATAAGATGAAGTTTACGAAGAATTTTTTCTGAATTTGAATATAATCGTTTTTTTTTTAATTATTTTTGTTTTACTCTATTGAAATTATTTACCTTTCCGAGTAATATAAATAAAAGCGGCTACTGATGTCATAACCAATAGAAAAGCCATTGATGCTAAAGAAATAGTTACAATAGATAAACGTCGATTATAACTAACAACTGTTGTTGCCGTTGTTAATGTATCGTCAATCATACTGTTAACAAATAAATCTTCTTTCAGTAATGATTCTTTCAAAGAATAAAACAATTTACTTTATATAGAATTGTTCACTGTAGATATTCTTCTTTTCGTTTTTTTATTTTGTTTACTTGTTGATAGGCAATAAGTTGGCCAACGGATAAGATTGTTCTTCTCTATTCGTTTGTGATTACGTCGATACAATAAAGAGAAAGAACAATCACAAGTTCTCTGAGTATGTCTTTCTCCTTCTTAGAGTTCGAAGGATGAAATATGAAGAGTGAAGAGAGAAATAGAGAGAGAAAGAGAGAGAGAGAGAGAGCGGCATCGCAGACTATTTGCAATTAGAATATGAGAGACCTATCGACAATATGTATCGATAGGTAGGCACACGCACAAAGAAGAATGATGAAATATGTCGGTTGTCTTAGTTACTTTGCGTGTGCATGTGTTTGTATAGTCATAACTAAAACAACACTTGTACATTCAATAAGATATAAAACTAGTTAGTTAAACATTAAATATTTCCACATTAACACTTCAAATCTAATGTATATACCATAAATGACGAGAATAACAATGATGTAATTATTATTATTATTTCATATTTCTATATTAAAGAAAGAAACATCAAATTGATGACGAATAACTTTGATATTCAAATCTATTATAAGATTATAATAATTTTTTTTTGTGAAGGAGAAAAGAAAGGAATTATTTAAAATAAGATTGAATTTTTTTAAATGTTAAAATTCAATGAATATAAAAATTTATGACAAATATAATTCACTTCGTAATATATGTATATACTTAAGATAGATTATGGTTTTTTTGTGTAAAAATTAATCCCATTTTCTTTTTCAATTCAAGTTTTAGAATCTATTGCAGTTGATTATGTATTTACTCTAATACATTACGACAATATACGTTTCTATCATAGATCGTTTACATATTATGATCGTATTTATACCTTTTTTCTTTGTGTTGATTATGTTGAACAATCAAACTATATATAACTGATCGAATCTCATCTATATTCTACCACAATCGAATATACTTATATACAAATATAGTTTATTTTATTAACTTCTTATGTAGATGATTTGTACATGATGTCTAATATCTAATTGTCAACAAACTTTTTTTTGAATAAGATCTACTCTTATCGAATACATGTATATATATGTGTGATACAGAAGAAGAGAAGCTGATTTGAAATTGAATACTCAATTATTTTGAAAGAATAGCATCAGCATTAAAAACTGACATTTATTCTTTAATGTAATCAAATATACGTAATACTTTGCAAAACATGAAGATTAAAATATAATTAGTTTTTTATGTGTTTTATTGAGGATATATAGTCATAAATTGAAAATTCAGTTCTTTTCTTTATTAATTTCGTTGACATGTAAGGAACTCTTTAAAAAAAAAGAAGTCTTCGCCACATAATATCATTCGTTCTCTTTCATCCATTAATAACAATATCTGAATCATTATAGAAAGGTTGATTGGTTAATTCAATTTGTTTTATTCTTTTTTTGTTTTGTTATCTCGCTCAAGATATCCATAGATAAATCCCATTCGAGACTAGGACTATTATTTCTCAGCACTCGTATTGATCAAATCTATGTCATTGATTTTGTTTTTTATATAGCTTTTTTTCTTTCAATGAAAAGCATATGCTTTGTGTAGGACAATATCTGTATATAATCATGTTTTACAACTAAGTCGAGCATTAACTTTATATGTTTAATCATTAGTCTTTTCATTAAAAATTTTAAAATTTATTCAATGAATTACTTCATATGTTAGTATCCCTATTGGTTTTTGTAATTATTCATGATTGATATTAATGGAAATATTACTGTTGATTAGGAATTCCTGTAGAAAATAAATATTAAATGCAAAAAATTTTCTTTATTGATTAATGGATATTTTTATTTGCTTTTATTAATAGATGATGTGGAAAAATAAATCAACACAAGATCTGTCAATGAATATTTGTTTTTTGATCTGATTTTTTCCTTGAAAATTATGCTTATTTTGATATTCAAATGGATTAATTGTATTGTTTACTATCATCAAAATTAGATTGTTCACATGAATTTGAAATTTTTGATGAGTTTCTCAAATAATTTCACAGTTTGTTTTTTTTCCAAACATTTGTTTTTTTTAAAAATTTGTCTTTTTGTTTCAGTTTTAATGATCATTCAATTTTATTACATGATGAACATAATATGAAATCATTTAAATTTTAAGTGATATTGAATTATGATCTCAAAATATAACACAGATTAGTTATTATTCAGTTTGGGTTCGATTTCAAATTAAACATTTTTTCCTTTTTAAATTGTTTTGGTATATTTTTAGGCAGCTTTGTGAAGCGATATAACAATTGAATATCTTCAATTTAATTTAAAAAAAATGCTATTAAATCATTTTAAAAATGAAAATTGTCAATCGTCTATACAAGAAAATGGTCATCAATTGTAAAAAAAAACAAAATTCATTGATTTTATTATTTAAATCCTGTTATTCTTTAGATTAAATCAAAATCCAATTCATAAAAATAACTTTTTCTGTTTACATCATCGTTTAATGTTTAAAATAAAACAAAAAAAAAACATAATTTCAATCAATTAAAAAATCTATAAGTAGGTACTCTAATCACAAAAATATTACATATTATATTCAAGTAAAGAACTATTTTATTATTATTATTTGTTTTATTTAATATTTCTAGGAATCATTAGAACTTAATTTAAATTCCAATGATGAATGTCGAGATGACTATGAAAAAAACCAACAACAACTAACTGTCATTGATTGTCTTCTTTAATCATCATCTTTATTCGTACTTGATAATAATATCGAGAACAAATAATGTAACTTAGAAATAATCCTATTACTATTTTCTTTTTTTATCGAAAGATAAATTATCAATAATACAAAAAAAAAATGTAAGTGAAAATGCCATTTAATCTATTAATTCATTACCCAATACTTTAATAAATAATGAAACACTAACTAAACAAATTAAATATGCAACCAATTGAAAATCTCTAATTAGCACATATATCTATGGAATAAGAAAATGATTCAATTTTGCTTATTTCATTTTCTTTTTACTGCTTTCATTGTCATTATGATATATTCGACAAGTATGCTATTGTCTAGTACCTTTTAGTCTGACTGATTGTTATGCTCGTTCACTCATATATATGCGCGCATGCATCCGTTATAAAAATAAAGAAGAAAAAGACCGACCGTAATGAATGCTTCTAAGGCTTCTTTTTTCGAATTTTTACCGAGTGACAAGAAAAAAAAAGACCCTGCCTACGCATGCATAGCAGTGACCCAGCACCCGGAAAAAAAAGAGAAAGGAGGAAAAGCGAACATAAGGAACAGAAGGGATGTCGATGTAGTAAATCATTCGTCGATATAGCAGAAGAACAAGCGAAGTCTTCTATTCTATGAGCTACCACTCGACATAGCATAGGGCATTAGTTGTAAATTGATTTACCCTTGCACTTGATCATGCAGCTACAAGAGCGTATTTTGCAGGTATTATTCAATAAATGTTTTTCAAGTTATAGCCAAATAAATATTCATAAATATTAATTTTATTCATCTATTTAGCTAATGAAAAATAATTCAGATACATTATCATTAACATATACAGAATTTTGTCATATTAGAAATGTTATAACACGAGCTGAATTAGAAAATTTATTATTTAATGAAAAACTTTATACTGAAGTCGCCAATAGCAAAGTAAATTTAATCGAATTCATGAATTTTCTTTTTTTTTTTTTAATTAATTTTTTATTCATTTAGTTATGTTTCACATGTCGAAAAGTTCATTTTAATTTACTTACATTCACATTTGGTATTCAATGTAATGTTTGTAAACAGAAAGTTTGTCGAAATTGTGTTACACAAGTAGGAAAAAAACCTGTGGTTTGTTTTTCTTTTCATTTTATAATTTACATTTCTTTAATTAGATTGCTCTACCGAAAGAAAGATTAAATGATTTACCAATTCAAGCATTTACTCCATTAACATTAACAAAATCATTATTAGATGCAGATAGATGTCATTCACTTGATGTGCAGTAAGTATTTATATCAAAACAAAGTTCGGTATTTATAGTTGATAATAGCTATAGGGAATTATAATAATACTTATTTTTTCATATATTTTTGGTAAATATATAGTTATAGGAAAGCAAATAAAGAGTTTAATATATATATATATATATATGAAAAAAAAGAATGATTCATTCGAGTCTATTAAAAAATAAAAATGTTTTTGAATAGAAAAAATATTTTTTTTTGTTTTATTTGAAAGCTTTTTTATATATATTTTTATTATAAATGCAGACACAATTGTTTTAATATTCCATATTTATAGGGCATGCCTAAAAACTTTCTGTTTACTTTGAAGTTTTTTCTTGCTAGACGTTAAACGTATCCGGATTATTTGCTAGTTCAATATTCATAAAAGGGTAATTGAGGTTGTATAATAGCAAATGATGTTAGGTACTTAAGTTATAATAAAAGCGGAAAAAACAAATTTTTTACAATTATCATCTTTCAAATTATCGTTGAGTAAAAGAAAAAAAGCTCTCCATTTATAACTCATACATTAATGTAAATATCTTTTATTAAATGAACAAAAATTAGACATAATTATGTCACTATCTATTCTAATATCTAATATTCAAATAAAATGTCAAAGAAAAAATTTTAATTCTTCATAATCCTGTGAAATACATTACGAAGATTTTTTTTACACTCCTTCTCTCTCTCTCTACTTTGCAAGTTATTTTGTTCCCTAAAGAATTGTATTAATAGTTTTCTTTTTCTCTTAAAATAAAATTCTTAATCGATTTTAGATCTCCTCTAACACCCACAATGAATTATATAAATTATGATGATTATGGATCACGTCGTTGTTCAACACCAGGCAATGCTCATAAACAATCTAATACAACAAAATGGCAAACAGAACCAATTGATATATGTACAGATTGTTTTTTTCTTTTACAACAAATTCGAGAAAAATTTCGTCAACGTCATATATCACCTACAATAACAAAACATTCAGTTTCATCAAGATCATCATCATTTAATCGTTCACATCAATTATCATCACGTTCAACATCAAATTATAATCTTTCAACATCATCATCAACATCATCAATAGCTACATTATTAGCACAACAACAACAACGTTCATTAATGTTTACAACAAATTCAATTTATTCAAATTTAAAACAAACAAAATCAGCACAAGATTTATCAGTACAAAATTTATCATTAAATAATGATTTATTACAAACATCAACAACAACAACAGCAACAACAGATGCAATCAATAATGATATAAATGAAAAAGTTAGTCTATCACGACATAATCTTTTTCTTAAACTTCAACCAACATATGATATTAAATTTGATAATATTAAAACACGATAATCGATAATTTTTTTGTCTAGTCGTATTTTTTTTTCTTTGTTCTTATGATTCGATTTATTTTTTCATGCATATCTTCATACATTCATTCATTGTATTGTATGTACTCAATGAAAGAAAAACAGATTTTCTCGTTGCATTCATTTTACTTCTCTAGAACCTATTGTATTGACTAGCCTTTAGAATATGCTGAATTATTTTATTATTCATGTGCAGTAATATATAAAAATGTTTTTCTTTCTCTTATGTATATATCAAAGTATGTAGAACATTTTGTTGTTTCTTTTTTTTTCTGATATGTATAATAAATATATGTATGAATGTGAAATTTAATAGAGAAATACATTTGAATATTCACGTCTAAATTCATTTCATTTTTAAAGATTTATCATAGATTATTATTCTTCGGTACTATCAATAATTGATCAGTGTTACAATCATAACTAATATCTAACCACAAGGTATGTAATATAATGCAAAAAAAAAAACCATTAATTATCATTAATATAACATGAAGAATGTTGTTAATTGATAGTATAAGACTGGAAAGAAAAATTTAATAAAAAAAAAAGATGGTCTATATTTAGGACTAAAGTTATTTACTTTTATATCCCATTCTTGCTTTTCTTTTTATATTTGAAAATATGTTCGTTAGATTCAAATAAAAATAATTTAAAATATTCATGAGTATAATATTTCCGTGAAATAATTTTATACGAAAACTAAATTATTCTATTAATACTTTAAAAATTTCTTATCTAAAAACTAATTATTTTTATAATTATTTTCATTTTTTTTTTAATAGGAGTTTTCAATTAGTTATTATAGTTTCGTTTCAATTATATAGTATCTAAAACAAGTGTAATGTCTGTTTATCGTCAAATTGCAACAGCATTATGTCTAGGCGGCATTGGCCTTTCATTATATGCATTCTATATTGAAATACGTAAAACAAATGATCCATCTTATCGAGCTGCCTGTGATATAAGTGAACGTATGAGTTGTTCACGTGTATTAACATCTCGATGGGGTCGAGGTTTTGGTTTATTTAAATCTGATTCATTATTTAATATACCAGATTCATTATTTGCCTTGATTTATTATTGTTTATCATTAATTCTTAATCGATCATATACATCGAAAACAATAGCTCGTTTACGTGTTTTTCTTTCAATAATAACTAATCTTGGTTCAATTTATCTTGGTTATATACTTTATTTTGTTTTACATGATTTATGTCTTGTCTGTTGTGGAATGTATGTACTTAATTTTATCATATTTATTTGTAATTGGAAATTATTAACAATGACAAAAGCAAGCAAACATAAGCAGAAGAAGAAACAATAGGCATACATACATACATACACACACACACACACACACGCACGGACTCATAAAAAAGAGGAGAGAAAAAAAAAGAAGAGAAAATATCTGACAATTTGCTTTACTCGCGTTTGTGTTCATACTCCTCCTCAAGAAAGAAAAAGCATCATCGTTTTTCTGTTCTTATTTTCTTTTT